ATTATAATAATTTCAAAGATTTATAGAAACAACGAATAATATAGAAATAATTTAGAATCAATAAACTTTAGGGTGGGCCGGGGCACAGAGGTCCAATTTATCTTTGAGCAATTATATTGTGAAAACCAAATCAATTATAACACAACAAATAACACATATCACACAAACATTGGACTATGTTCAGTAAATTCCCAGCTAATTCATCATTGTATTAATGTGTTTTTTGCTTTTTTTCAAAATCATATTTATTTCGATCTATCTTTTATTATTAATTACTTGGTTTTATATTGGTTCTTATTTCTTTTTCCAGAGGGAATGTATAACGGTGCACGTTGGCCAGGCGGGCGTCCAAATTGGCAACTCGACTTGGGAGTTGTATTGCTTAGAGCATGGTATCGAACGTGATGGATCAATGTCACAAGCAACGATGGAGAAATGTTCGGACAACTGTTTTACTACGTTTTTTAGCGAATGCGGAAACGGAAGAATTGTGCCCAGAAGTGTAATGGTCGACTTAGAACCCACTGTTGTAGGTAATTAGAAAGAAACTAGCTGTAAGTGGAATTCTGTCTTAAGGCAATTAGGGCATCGTGCCTTAAGGCAAATTGCTGGAACTTCCCGTACCAAATATTATTATTTTTTTAAAAACGATTAACATTTTTGAAAAAAATTTACTTCGAAAAAATAGATTTTTGAGAAACTAGGAATTTGACAAAAAATTACTTTTTTTGAAAAAAAAATGTCCTCTTTATTTTGACATATTTTGGAAATTCTGAATTTTTTTTAAAGCAATCGTACTGCTTTAACTGCATAGAAACAAAATGTCAAAGCGCGTAAGCGCCGCGTCGCCGTCTAACAAATAAACATTGGTACGGAACCCATAGGAATGCAAATAAAATTTATACTTATTGTTAAAATCTCTATAAAATATCTGATGATTTGATTAGACATATGTCTAATGATCATTTTTGACCGCCAAATGGCATTTTTTTTACTGTTTTCGTTAGATCTCCGAAACCGCTAGACCTGCCTTTATGAAAATTTGATCGGTTCTTCACCTTGTCAATACAAGTAAAATGCGGAACGGCTATCAATATGAATCGAATGTTTTTTGAATTATTTAAATCGGTTGATCGGTGTTCCCGAAATCGTCGACAAAAATTTGTATCCACATATACACACACACACACACATACATCCATTTTTTCTAAGGTATGCCAAAATGTTCAAAAACCTTTGAAACGTAAAGATATATAAAAATTTTCATTTTAGATTTTTTTGCGATTACTATAACTTGCCCTACGGGAAGTTAACTAGTGGTACATGGCATCGTGCCTTGAGGTAAATTGCTTAACTTCCCGTAAAGATTTTTTTTTGATAACTTGTTTTTTTGAAAACTGAAAAAATTAGATTTTTGATAATTTTTAAATTTTGATAAAAAATAGATCTGTTTGAAAAATTTTGAAATTCATTTTTTTTATTTTGAATTTTTTTTGAAAATTTCGAACTTTTCTCAAAGCAATCTTGCTGCTTTTGAATTCGGAACCAAATTTAGAAGCGCGTAAGCGCCGCATCGCAGACTCATAGTCTAATGATCATTTTTAACCGCCAAATGTCATTTTTTTACATCTTTAATTAGATCTCCGAAACCAATGGACCTGCCTTCCCAAAAAAATGACCATTTATTTCTTCAATACAAATAAAATGTTTTTCGAATCATTCAAATCGGACGCTACGTTCTCTCAAAAACTGAAATACCATTTTTGGTCATTGTAGCCTCGTGTCTTCGAAACTGCTGGACTTGCCTTTGCCAAAAACTAAGTAAGCTTTTCAATCAATATGAATCGATTGTTTTTTTAACTTCTCATAGGGTAAGTTATTGTAATCGTCCAAAAATTGAAATTGAAAATTTGTACATTTCTTCGCGTTTTGAAGGTTTCTGAAGATTTTGGCATACTTCAGAAAAAATGGATGTGTGTGTATGGATACAATATTTCATCCACGTTTTCGGGCGCACAAATTAACCAATTTGAATGGTTCAAAAAACATTCGATTTCTATTGATAGGGAAATGTACTGATTAGTTTTTGGGAAAGCAGGTCCATCCGTTTCAGAGATACGGAGCGAAATAGAATAGCGAGATAAAATCGAATTTGAGAGAATGGAGCATCCGATTTGGATGATCTAAAGAACATTCAATTTGTAATGACGGGGAGAAGTGGTGATTAGATTTTGGCAAAGGCAGGTCCAACCGTTTTGGAGATACCGAGTTAAATGTGCAAAAAATTGAAGTTTTTGAGAGTACTAAGCATCCAATTTGAATTATTCCAACAACTTTCTATTTGTTTTGACAAAATAATTGCTTTTGGGGAAAAAAAAATATTTCAATTTTTTTTCCATTTTTTTATTTTTTTTTGTGTCGAAAAAATTCAGATTTTAATTTAAATTTAGTCTAAGTGACAACGATTTTCACTTAGAAATATAGATAGCAATATGTTTCCAAGTGAAAATAGCCCTTGCTCGGCTTTGCTGCACCAATAAAAAGTCAGCCCTATTTGATTAATTCTAATAACAAAAATCATCAAATATGGATGAATTAACCATTGGGTTACTATCTAAAAATTTGAAGTAAGGAGAAGTTTCAGCCCAACAGCTCATAGGACGTAAGGTTCTGCTTGCTGTTAAAAATATTTAAAATAAAATTAGTCTAAAGTTCTAATGCTCGCATATATACTTTAAAAAATTATTTTGAACTTTGTAATTCAGTTTATATAACTTTTATAAATATTAGACAATGTAACAGTATTTATATTAATCTATTTGAAAACATTTAATATTTCTCGAACATTTCGTTACGGTGCAGAAAGTTCCAGCAATTTGCCTTAAGGCACAATGCCATAAACCACTAGTTTTATTATCTCATAGGATCATGTTACTGTGGTAGTAAACGATGTAACAAGATTAAAAGATTAATAATACCATAGTCTTCGTGGTTGTTTTTTTTTAAGATTATTATCCCATCTCATTGAATAATCTTTCGTTGAATTGATTTCCATTCACTTGAAATTTATTATTCTCCAGACGAAGTGCGTAGTGGCGAATATCGCAATCTCTACCACCCGGATCAGTTGATAACCGGCAAAGAGGACGCCGCAAACAACTACGCCCGAGGTCACTACTCCATTGGGGGCGACATCATAGACACCGTGATGGATCGAATACGCAAGCTGACCGATCTATGCTCCGGCCTCCAAGGTTTCTTCATCTTCCATTCCTTCGGAGGGGGCACTGGCTCAGGATTCTCTTCCTTGTTGATGCAACGTGTCAGCGACGAGTACGTAAAAAAATGTAAACTCGAATTCGCGGTCTATCCGGCTCCAAAGGTCTGCACAGCAGTTGTTGAACCTTACAATGCGATTTTGACTACGCATCGCACTTTGAGCTACACTGACGTCGAGTTCATGGTGGACAACGAAGCGATTTACGATATTTGTAAGAATAGATTGAATATAGAACGTCCTACGTATGCCAACTTAAATAGATTGATAAGCCAAGTTGTGTCTTCGGTCACCGCCAGTCTGCGGTTTGATGGAGCCTTAAATGTTGACTTAGCAGAATTCCAAACCAATTTAGTACCCTACCCACGTATACATTTTCCTTTAGCTTCGTACTCGCCCTTAGTCTCTGCTGATAAAGCCTACCATGAAGGTATGACTGTTGCCGAAATTACAGCAGAATTATTTGACCCGTCCAACCAGATGGTCAAGTGCGAAACACGCTTAGGTAAATATATGGCATGTTGCATGTTGTACAGAGGTGATGTTGTCCCCAAAGATGTAAACGCAGCAATTGCTCTGATCAAGGAAAAGAAATCCATAAGATTTGTAGACTGGTGTCCTACTGGATTCAAAGTAGGCATAAATTACCAACCACCGACTGCTGTTCCAGGAGGCGATTTGGCTAAAGTGCAAAGGGCGGTCTCGATGTTGTCTAATACCACTGCTATCCAAGATGCGTGGGTTCGTTTGGACCATAAATTCGATTTAATGTATTCCAAAAAAGCTTTCGTGCACTGGTATATTAGTGAGGGCATGGATGAGTCTGAATTTATAGAAGCAAGGGAAGATCTGGCGGCTCTGGAACGTGATTATGAAGAAGTATCAAATGATACATTAGATGAAATGAGTGTAGAGTTAGAGCTTCACAACAGGGCTTCAACATGTGAAGACTTTTAGCCTCAAGTGTTGCAACCATCAATTTTGAAATAACATAAAAATTTTTAGTAGTTCTTATTTGTCATATACGTGCAGTTTTATTTGAATATTTGATTTTAATAATAAATTTTTGAATGGTTAGTGATTATTGAAACTGATTCGCCGAAAAATATGTTAGTTTTGCTTATTAATAATAATTTTCTTAAATAAAAATATTTGATTAGTAGAACAATCTTTAAATGTATATCTATATTTATAAAACCTATATTAATATTTTATGATTTATATGCGCTTTATTGAGTGTTATTTTATATTTATTAAAAATAGATTTTAATAATCCATGGTATCAGGATATGGTAATGCGATTAAAATTTTCTAACTTAACACTAAAATTAACTAATTGTATGTTCTATTTACTCTTTTTTTTTCGCTCCTATTCAATTGTTTCAGTTTTTAATTTTATTTTTAGTTTCCACGGAATGAAGGCAAAGAGTATAGCCGAAAGTATGGATGTAAAATTTTTTGAAAAAATTTCATGTTTTGTATTGATGTTATGCCCGATTACTAGACTTTGTCAATACTAATACTAATACTAATATAGTAATATGTACATATATATATATATATATATATATATATATATATATATATTTATATATATATATGTACATATTACTATCATTTTCAAAAAATTGTATTATGATCAAATATGCATGGACATAGTTTGCAGTTCGCGTTAACGCAAAATGGAACAATTAATTTGAACGATTCGAAATATCCATATAAAATTCATGATATCAAAAAATTGAGTTTTTTTAGCAAAGTCATTAATTTAGGTTGTATTTTTTTCAATTGCTTTGTTATTTTTCTAATAAAAAAGGATTTATGTTTCATCGCGATCGATAAAATTTGGCCTGATCTTAATGTTGTATTTGGAGAGGTCTTTATTCTAATTAAAACTTGCTTTTTTTAACTGAATTTAATTTAGTGTCCAAATTGGTATGGATATACAAAAATAAGTACTCATAATTAATTGCCCAGTCATAGACCTTTCACTGCATGTACTACTAATCCTCAAATGTTTTCCATTTTATAAAGTGTCAAAAAATAAAGGAGACTGTGACGTCACTTAGTGAACGAGCTTTGCCGACAATCGTGGAACACACCCTATTGATCAAATGTCATATTACATATTATATGAAGTGTAATATATAATATGTTGTAACATCCACTATTGTTTATGCATATCGAGCATAGAATATTTATTTTTAGTTTGAACACGTGACATGTGACAATCAATCGGGAGTGTTTCACGATTGTCGGCAACGCTCGTTCACAAAGTGACGTCACAGTCTTCTCTCTTTTGGCACTTATTTTTTGTAGTCCATGTAATTAAAGGTCTGTTAAAAGGTCCAATCCATAAAAATACAAGAAGTTGTTCCTTGAAATTTGTAATTTAATCAAATTTAGCTAAGTCATCGACCTCAATATATTTGAAATATACCAAATGTCGTACCGGATAAAAATATCCTCAATACAAAATTGCTTTCTTCCTAACGCGTGATTTATCTCGACAATCCTTCTGAAAGCATCGATTTCAATATACACTAGGGCATTATTCATGTAAACGAGTGTCCTTTAAACGGCTTCCTCTTCGGTATAATTTATGTAAAATCTTTCAAATCAAACCCGAAAATAACGCACGCGTACGACACGTGAGTTTGTGAGGAATATATTACAAAACCTCTATTTAAAGACCAAAAATGATCCGATGGAAAACGAAATGAACAGCTGTCCTATATCACTCCGGTGGCGGCAGATGACGCTTTTGCGTTCCGTGCGAGAAAATTTGGCTTGGGCTTCTTCACATCGAGGGAAAAAACTAGTGGTTTATATTGACTATTATTTTTATAATTCTTGGACATTTTTCAACATTAAATTGTATACTAGTGGGGTGCATGGCATCGTGCCTTAAGGCAAATTGCTGGAACTTTCCGTACCGTAATCAATAATCTTGGTACGGAACTCAAAAAAAATTACACAAAATTTGTACACATTATGAAAATCTCTACAAAATATCTGATAATTTGATGCGCACAAGTCCAATAAACATTTTTGACTGCCAAATGACATTTTTTAACTTATTTTTATTGTGAGTCCATAACCACTGGACCTGCCTTTTCAAAAATTTAATCAGTTCTTCATCTTGTCAATACAAGTAAAATGTTTTTTAAATAATTAAAATCGGACGCCCCGTTCTCTTAAAAACTGAGTTACCTGCCTCCGCCAAAAACTAATCAGCACTTCTCCTTATTAATACGAATCGAATGTTTCGGACGATCCGTGTTCCCGAAATCGTCGACGAAAATTTGTATCCGCACACACACACATCCATTTTTTCTAAGGTATGCCAAAATGCTCAGAAACCTTTATAATGTAAAGATATATAAAATTTTTCCTTTTTGATTTTTTTGCGTTTACTATAACTTGTCCTACCGGGAAGTTAAAATGATGATTTTATAAAATGTTAATTATTGATTATTAGAAAAAAATTTATTCAGTATAGGGTGAGGCACAAAGGTCCCATTTGACTTTCAGCAATTATATTTAGAAATTTCAATTATACACATACCAAACAATAGTCAAACTATCTGACTATGTTCAGTAAACATCCCAGCTAATTCATCATTGTACAAATGTGTTTTTTTTAATTTGTCACCTAATCTTTTATACCCCATAGGGTAAAATAGGACGGCCAGGGGAACAAAAAAGTCCAATATCTTATTTTCAATTTCACGAAATAATAGTTATTCGTTATTCAATCAATGCAAAATATAAATTTTATGGGTACTTTTTCACAGAGATAACACTTGATCTGGCATGTTGTCAGAATAAATCATCAGCTGAGTTGTAATACCTATTTATTTAACTTAATCTCTTGCAAAATTGCTTTCTAAGCTTTATTTGCATTTATATTTACAATTTTTAATTGTTTACACCATTGTTAGTGCATACATGTTAGCTTTTATAAAGGTTACTAAAGAATATTAAAACTGACTTGAAAGTAACTATAATTCTTATACGTTTCCCTCTACGTTCAAATATAGTAGTTAAAAAATTCTTAACTCTTCATGTTTTTGAGATATTGGTGGATGGTCTTTTTACCTGCTTTGGTTTTCTTTACAATTTCAATACAATAATCCAAGAAATAAATGTAAAGTATCTTATTCAGCTATGATTATTTTCATAATTTTTACACCTGTCCTGAAGAACAGTAAAATAGTAGGATTTTAAAAAAATCACTCCAAAAACACAAAATCTTCTGACCTTTGTTACATACATTTGTTTTCTAATATTTCTTTGGTAGTATTATGACATAGTTCTCTGGCGAGTGAGTCTGGGTGATCCTCAAGGCAGCTTTTGTATTTGTTTGAATGTGTTTATACTTCTTGGTTGATTGTGTTCATGTCTGAATGTTATCTTTTAGTAATCGACATCTTTGAATTTTGTATCACCTTTGATATGGAATTATTATTCTTTTGCCCCGATTTAAAAATAAAATCATCACCCATTCAGTATACATCAACCACCATCCTTACAATGGAATACTTTCAAACCCCAGCAACCGCTTGGTAAGATTCAAAGTCTGCATAATAAATTATTTATTACCATCTATTATTCGTGTGAAAGAAGCCGATAACGTTGGTTCCTTCTGGCGATCACGACCATATATATCTGTCTAAATACATCAGAATGTCGTCCCTTCGTAATATTGTTCATACACACGACAGGACGATGTGCGTGAGCGATAAGAAACTCACGACTTGTTTTTAGTCATTTTGTTACGTACGATTCCCTATGGAATTAATGATTTCGACGGCTCAACATGCATATGTTATGCCATGTGACGGAATGCAGATTGTAATGGATAGTTTTTGATGGTAATTGATAGAATTGTGAGGAAAAAGTTGTAATTTACTTAATTATCCATTTTTTCAGACGGGCTTACAAAGGTTGTTTCAAAGGTGTTAGTGTAAGAACTTTTTCCTGGTCTAGAGGCATGAATTTCATGAAATTTTTAGACCGTAAAAAGGCAAACAATATCTTGGTAAATTTCTTATACAAATCATTAACTTATGTTTGAGAATATAAATAAATATAAAAATTTAAAATAGTCATAAAGTATTAATTCTAGAAGGCGATGAAGTGAGGGTCTCAAAAATTGGCACCTGACTATACCCATGATTATAGCCCTACAAACTAGTGGTGTATGGCATCGTGCCTTAAGGTAAATTGCTGGAACTTCCCGCACCGTAATGAAATATTCGATGAATGTTGAATGTTTTCAAATAGATTATTGTAATATATGTTTTGTAATTTATGTTAAATAAATAAACAAAATTTATTCAATCGAATTTAAAATGAAGGACATTGTCTAATATTTTAAGAATTATATAAACTAAATTGCAAAGTTAAAATTATTTTTTTGAAGTATAAGTGAGCTTTAGAACTTTAGCTAGAATTAAAATTAAAAATCGAATTATTCAAACAAAAAATAATAATAATTAAAAATATATATATTTTTCTTTCAAAAGCAATCGTTTTGTCAACCCAAGCAAAAAGATATTTGAATCATTCAAATCGGATACGTAGTTCTCTCTAAAAAAAAACTGCCATTTTTTGCTTATTTAGCTCGGTATTTCCGAAATGGCTGGACCTGCCATTGCCCAAAATAATCAGCACATCCCCTATCAATAGGAATCGAATGTTTTTTGAACCATACAAATCAGTTGATCCATGCGCCCGAAAACGTGGACAAAACATTTTATCCATACATACATACACACACATCCATTTTTCCTGAAGTATGCCAAAATGTTCAGAAATCTTCACAC